ACAATGTTTTGGTTTTGCAAGTGGGGGCAGCAACACAATATCTTTTTGTAAATAATCCCATTTTGTGTTGAAATATAATGTCTTGATGATTTCAAAGAGATTTAGTGCTTTACTACTTATGCTGGATGTGCTCAATATCAAAACCTGGTTGATATCATTCCCACAGACTAGATTCATGAATGAAAGCTGCTTTTCACTTTGTATCACAAGCTCGTGATTGCCCCCTAGTGAGGCCTCTGCAGGCTGAGAGTCAGATCTACTGACCTCCCAAAGAAGTTGGCCTCTTTGATGTCTGTGGTGGTGTTGCAGTGACCACAGTATCTGTGCTTGTAGTCGAAGCTGCGCTCTCTCAGCACCAGCTCGTCTTCGGGGATCGACTCTTTCCTACTGTACGAGTGGAATCGTATGGAGCTGTTGGACTTCTTATCTTCAGTTGCTGAAGAATTCATTTAAACTTATTAGAACTGAATCATTCACACACATTAACAAGTAAACAAAAAGTCTGTTGCCAAGAGATTATAATAAAGACACAACGGCTATATTACTAGTCAAAGATTTGTTTTAGCTTGTTTGTTTTCATTCTTCGAATAGTGTACTTTGTGAGTCATCTCGCAGGGTGGTGGCAATGTGGTTTGTCTGTGGATTTCAAACTCTTACTGTGCATGTTCTTTCCTTTTTCATACCTGATTCTGTCTTAGAGAAGAGAGCCGCCTTGATATCTTTATCTAAGGCATCACAGGCATTACTGTGCGCCTGCTCTGGAAACTTTCCCCTGAAATCATCCAAACACTCCAGAGCCTCTGTCACATACTTCAGCTCGAACAGACACCGTGCCAGTCTGAAATGGGCTTTCAGGTGGCTAGGGTTTAAGGTCAGAGCCTTCAGACAGTCCCTGAGGGCATCGTAATGGTCTCCGTCCCTGTGAATCACAGATGTAAACAAAACACTTGTTAACTGCTTTCATGGCCTTTAGGAAAATGTGACGCATTTTCTGTCTGAACTAGTGCTTTGGGCGTCGTGACATGATGGAGCGTACCATTTTCGCTTCATGTACGCTGCAGCCCGGTTCCCGTACAGCATGGCGTTGCAGCTGGCCTCATGAATGCTTAAACTGTACAGCTGGATGGCCTGTGTCCACTGCTGTTGTGCAAATGCATCATTAGCTTGTTGCTTTATCTTCTCCAAGTGAGAGGGGAGCTCAGAAGAACTAAAACAAGGAGAACAGAAGAAAGACGATTCAAGTGTGTGAAACAATTTGTGAGTAGATGCAATCACTGGCCCCGTTCAGACCTGGCATCAACATCCGTCTTGAGAGATCTGATCAAAAGCGAACAGTTCTAAGAATTGATATCTGTCCTGGACATGTCTCCTGTGACCACTTGTGATCTGATCTCACTTCTTCACTTAATATGCAAATGATCATGGACATCATTTCTGTTCACAGGGACCAAATGATGCAGTTTTTCCCCACTCAGGGGGACACTGAAAGATAACTACCTTGAGCGAATCTTGTTTGCAGCAAAGCGAATATGGCTGGTTGGCAAGTGAATTCCATTGGAGACGCCATTGGTTGTCTTTCCATTCTGCACATCTCCTGTGGAGCAAAAGAGCCAGAAAACATCTTACATCTACAGATACCATACTTCTACATCTATGAAGCACCACTCAAATTGTTTTTTTCAGGCTGAACAGACCTACCTGTGGATGACTGGCACTTTTTTGGAAGCAAGAAGGTGTACGGCCTTTGTTTAAATGTCAAATCAAACAGATACACCTAGAAAAAATTTAAACAATAATCAAATAAAACAAAGCTAACAAAACAGACCAGAAATAAAAGGCCCCTCTCCCCATTTCTTGTTTGTTTCACGAAGCATTACCTGCTCCCCTCCCATGTTTACAAGCAGCTCTGTGCCATCTGGACTGAAGGTGACATATGTGGCCACCAGGACCCTAAGGCGGTTATTGTAGTCTGGAAGTTTCACTGGCAGGTGCCCTGGAGAATTCAAACAAACACTTGTGTTATCCAACCACATCCTTCACAATCACTTTCATGTAAACTCTGTATTTCCTGATGACTTGAACATATGATAAGATTCCAAATTAACCCATTTTATAAATCTGATGCCAAACAATTCAGCTGCATATGCACCTGCAACATAATACTGCCCGGCTCCGTCTGGGATGGGCTTCTGCCTATCACAGAATGTGTGCACAGCTGCAGACGTGCTCTGACTCATAGATTTTCTGTGGAAAGAACAAAACAAGTTGGTTTAAACTTGGAATGGAGAACACTCCACATTTCTGCAGTTGTTGAATTATCGTTCGCATAAAATGACTGAACTTATTGACCTGTAGTTGTGTATCATCCTGATGTCATAGAGACGTACAAAGGGACCATTGGCTCCCACTGCCATATAGTTGTTGTCCCGTGGGTTGACAGCCAAACACTTGGCCTCAACCAGCTGACCACAAAACTCTGTCAGGTCAATCAGCACCTCAGAGCGTTTGCTGTTCTCCCGCAGGTCATACTGTCTGTAGAGAACAAGGAGAAATGACCATATTAACATAATTAGACACTGGATATCTTTTGCCGTTCCTGTACTGGTTTCTAACCTGATGATGCCGTCCTCCGCAGCACTCCAGAAGGTGTTGGGCCACATGGGTGCTGTGGCGATACGTTTGACTCTGTTGGTATGATCAGAAAACATGTGGATGGTTTCCTTCACTGTCACGTCATGCACATGGACCTTTGTGTCAGCCGCGCCTGTTATCAAAATTCTGTCTCCGGAGTGAGGGAGGAACTGTAGGGACAGACAAACAAATCAGAATTAACCATTGAGTACAAACAAAATGTGCATTGATTGGCTACTGTTTTGAATAGTCGAATTATTTCCAACAACTAGCGATCATGGAGTAAATGATATTTAATTAATACTCCTATTAAAGTGCTGTGGATGAAAGTCCCATTTTGGGCCTTATATATCAGTGGTATGCATTAAACTGTGTCATGGACAGCTTTACCACAGTAGAACCTGTACATATACGGGTTTTCCACCAAACAACATGCCACTTATTAAATGGTTAACATTGCCACCTAATGTACAGGAGGGGGCAAAAAACACACCTTCAATATCTGACACAGGACATCCAGAATTTTAATTATGATAGGGGGCTACTTGTAGTTTCAGGTATTTGCATAAAATGCACTTTCAAAGAGACAACATTTGTAATTATTCATTCATCTTTCTTTGCCTATAAGCATTACACACTCAAAATGCTGCCTATATCACAATATGACTTAATATTGGTAATATGTGTAAAGTCAGCCACTGCTAATTATTTCTGCTCACTTTCCCACCTTTGATTTAAAAAATCCATCTTCAATTTAGTCCTTACCTTTACAGAAAATATATTTGCTGCATGACCTGTGTGCATAGTTGTGAGCTTCTTGTGTTTGAACGGATCCCAAATGATGGCATGTTGATCATCTGAGCCCGAGGCCAGTAGACTGGATAAAAAAAAGAAACACAGGAAAAGTCAAGCGATATTCGGATAGGATTTTAACTGCTGATAAAATTTTAAGTCTTATACTGTGAAACTTTGAAAGTGTGCAACAGCTGATGCCCTTTTATTTTGGTGATTCAAATCAAATCAATACCTCTTTGAGCACTGAAAGGGTTTAGTCTGAGGTTAATACTCTAGGGCTATTTAGAGCATGTCCTGGTAGAATACAGAGGATTTTATTTACAGCAGATCGACACCGGCGTCGACTCTTATCACCACAAATTCTCTCGACATCTTTGTATGTGTCTTCTACGTGTGTCGCTGTTTTATCATCTGGAGATCATTTTCGTTTTGTTTTTTTCATTTTTGCGCCTGTCACATGTTAGAAGCTTCATCAACGTTCTCCACTCACTTATACTTTATACTAGGAGGCCAGGTGGAGAAAGTGGACACAAATGCATGTGTGAAGGTGCATGTGCATGTATGAACGCATTTGTATTCACACATGCACCTCCTCCTGAGAAACTGTGGAGAATCTACGTGCGTGAGTTCAGTGCATGTTTAAAAGCAGCTATACAGCAAAGAGAGGACAGTGCAAGATTTTTGTCATAGTTGTATGGTGACACAAACCCACCAGGGATACCAGGTGAGAGATTATAAAATAAACAGAGGATGAAGACTTAAGTATTGAAGACTTACTCTCCTCGTTCATTCCACTCCAAACAGTTCACACAGCCTGTATGACCCTGTTGAGACAGAAAATGGGTCAAAAGAAGTCTCAGTCTCCCTTCTCTACCTACATCTGCACACCAACACGGTTACTGTCACAGACCTGAAGCTCAGCTTCCAGTCCGAGTCTCTTGATGAAGGGGTCAGTCACATGATAGGACCTTTGGAAGCCTGACGCCCTCTTGTCCTGCAGGCACAGATCAAAGACTCCATCATCTTTTACATTTGGGATGGGTCTATTTGGGTTAGTTGCATTGTGTCTTGTCAGTAGTATTTTCAGCTCATTATACAGCATGGCGTTTGTTTACTCACCCTGATCTGCCTGTGCAGGATATCTCTGGTAATGTTGACGGTAGTCATGGCTTCACCACTCGACATTTATATGGGACTGGGGTGGAGGATCCAGGGGTCAGAGCTCCGATGACATTTACTCTGTAGTTCTTGAGTATAAGCTGTGCAAACATGAACAACATTAAAGCAGGGTGGAGAGCACAGGAACGACTCTTATCATAAACACACTGATTTGATGGAAGGGGGAGGGGGACGACATTTGAACACTTTACTCAATATGGGCTCTTTATAAATAGCTGAACCATTAGCATGCCCTGTAATGAATAAACACGTATTACAGCTGGTAAACAGACTATGGTCACTCCAGAGCCAAAGGCTGGTTCGCTCCCGTCAGTGGAGTCCAACGAGACGAGTTCAGCAGCCGTCGAGCTAATGTTAGCTTTGCAGCTGTGTCTCTACTGAATCCAGCGGACTGTTTAACAAAACCCTGACATTTATTATCAATGTTAGGACACTGTTAGCCTGCTTCAATCGTTAGCCCCCTGTGCATCAGGCCTCTCGTTAACCAAGTGGCTGCTACCTGCGTTAGCCTCTCTAGCGTTACCCTGCTAGCTAAACAAAACGTCCACATCGCCGAACGTAAACATTGGCAACGCTTTCATTTCGATCCGCGGCCGCAGGAGGAATCTCACCGCTTTCCTCGAACTAAAAAGTCTTCTGTCAAGAGATGTCCATTTAGTGAACGGAATGAATCTCACTCTGTGTGAGTTTGTTGACAGGATTGTCGCTGATACTGACATGAACACAAGCCTCCTCCTCCTCCTCCTCACGTCACTTTGTTCAGCCTGCCGAAACAGGACAAACACTTCCGCTCCGCGTCCTTTTCAGGATAAAGGCCTCACCCCCTCAAATTAACATTTCTGCAGCACAAATAAGCTGAGTAACTATACAGTCAATATGGTGTCTAACATTATGATGAATTATATTTTTGCCCTTCATTCAAATACTTTACTTATGTGTCAATAGATTTTTATTTCACCGATTCATAGGAAGAATTTGTTTGATTGTAAATGTAGAAATAAAGTGAGATATTCAGCTTTATGTGCTGTTCACTGAGAAAGACAATTAAGAAAAGCATGTTTAGTAATCGGACAGACAGAAGATGAAGATTAAAGATCTTATCTGATGATTCTTGAGAATGTGGCAGTTTGGGATGGAAAGATGACTTGGATGAGCTTAGTCAAATTAACTCACAAGAACAGGTTATAAGAACATGTATAGTTGTTGCAGCTGTTTAGAATCTGTAAATGGTTCAGATGAAAGTCTATCTTGTGTGCATTTATTTAACAACCATGAAGGTAAAAACACCACCAACAAAAAAAACAAGTATAATCAGAATCTCAAATTAGTGGCACAAGTAGAAGAAACTTGATTTACTTCTTTATAAAATGTAGAGTGTTAAAGGGAAAGTTGGAGAATGCCGAGTATGTTCATGCAGCACATTAAATGAATGCATAATATATTTACATTTTAGCTGGAGACACTTGTGATAGGATGTCTTACAACACTGAAGGTCACAATGTGAAAGCAGAACAAAAAAAAGAAAAAAACTTCAACGTGACTGTTATTACTTAATCACAGCCTGCAGTTCTTGACATTTTCTCAACATGCCAGCAACACCTGTTCTCTAAGAACCTGTCAGCCTCAGTTAGGCAAATAACGTGGATGACTTTCTGACATTTTAATGCTTTATGAGTCCTGCATTAGTGATTCAAACTGAGATTTAGCAGAACAGGAACACGTGTGAAGTAGATGTTCTCACACAGGAAGCCCTTCAAGGTACGCTTAATTATAATTATCTTAACAAAATGTCAGACAGCAATTTTTCAAATTTGATCTGTTTATTAGTGTGAATAATTACTTATGGTTAAACCAAAATACGACAACATGAAGCTGATTTAGTCATTTCTAATTCATCCATTTCAAAAACTCCAAAATGATGTGTCACCGACTGATGACGGGGATGAAATCTTACTATGGATGTCCCAATTTCCTACAACTGATGTCAGCATTTGGGCCATTTTCACTTCTTTGTTATCCACGGCGGTTCTGCTATATTTGGGTGTGGACCTACAACTTCCCTCTGACTGTAAAGCAGAAATGTTCAAATTTAACCAGAGGAATAAATTCTATTTTACAATTAATATAGCTAATGATAAATGGAAAGAGACACATATCAATACCTATAATTATCTCAACAAATGTCAAATTATCATTTCTTTCAAGATGTGTTGTGAAGGTGCGTTGAAGATTGTGGTAAACTCCTTTTATGAGCAAATAATGAAACACTTATAAACAAACCCCCCAATATTCTAGATATCTGAGACAGAACATTAAAACTGAAGATGTATTATACCCCATCACTGTTCTTGCACAATGCATAAGCATTATCTCGATATATATTGAACTTTCACTACATTGCTATTGATGAGAATCATATTGTAACCAGAGGATCAATGGCATGGTGATGTCATGTCCCCCTTCCCCCAAAGTGCTTTGACATAATGTATGTTGTTATATGGTGCTAAACAAATGCATTGAATTGATTGACAAGAAATGAGACCGTGAGAGCGAGTTAGAAATGTAGTTTTCTCATCAGGAATCAACTTTTGACATTAACATTAGACTCAATGGGGAAGCCAGAGTGCTGTGCTCTAGCGCCAGTCTTCAAACAAATGCTTGTAACTCAAAACCTATATGTCCTATCTGTGAAATGAAAACACAGCGAGAATCCCAAGACTTTCCTGAACATACAGATCTTTTTTTTATTGGTAGTTAGTGAGTGAAGAAATGAGACCGTGGGTACGTCTAGGGTACGTTAGTTTAGGTATGTTATGTTATGTTATAATGTGTTTTAACTTGTTATAATGTGTTTTAACTTGTTATAATAAGTAATGCTTTGTT